ACAGACAGACGAAACCACAAGCGGTGTCGGGTGGTTGCCACCGGCTGGTAATGCTAATGAAGTCTAATTGAATTTCGGACACTTGACACGTCCCACAATCTCTGATCTCTTGTTGACGCGCTGGCAAGGACACATGTCGCATAAAACACAGAGTTTTAACCAGCAATTAAATGGGCGAATCCGATATTGAAAAATCATCATGATGAAGTCATCATAAACAGGCGGAAGGATATCGAAGATTATCTTTCAAAACTGAGTAATTTATAGGTATAAGAATGTATTGCCATAAAACACATAATAATAATATTATAATACAATCTGTTGCCTACTAAAAGGCATCCTTACGGACTGGTGTGCTGATCAGGAACACTTCTTATTCACTGGTCACAGTTAACAACATCGGCAATCCACTGGGTGTGTGCACCAACATTTGTGAAGACTTACAAGCCATCGTGTGAATAACTGACGATGCCGAACAAGATGAGCCACTCCTCTCCTAAATTCATCACCCTTAATCCTTCTTAAGGAGACTGCACACAAATTTGATTCGGTTCTATAATTTTTGGAGCCTGCTTGAGCATTCACTGGGATTGAAAGGAGTATGTCATATGCAGTCAAACGTAACTGGTGGATTAGGCTTAGCCATTTCCTTTTCTTTCAACAGCATACCTATCGGCCTCAAGTGGCCTGCAAAAGGGGAAATTAAATATGAAAGTCTGAATGAAGTCTGCATTTCACAAGGGGCAAAACACAAATGAAACATGAACTGAAAAAACAGCTCTTATCAGTACATATGCATGCACATATTACACTTCAAGCATTCGTGTCATTTTTTCATAATCTAACTTTGGATTAAATATTAATCATTACCGCAAAAATGTTTTTAACAACTATGATATCGGCGTCGAAATTTGTATTGGCATATCCTCTATGAGCTTCATAGCATCTTTAAGGATCAAAATATACATCTTTGTTTATAGATTTATGTATTCAAAAATAACTGGGCATAGTAACCTCCTTTAAATATGGGTTATACACAATGTGCTGAATATTGTAACGCTGTGCTCGCACCATTTAAAAGCTATCAGCTTAAAATACTGCCAAATATATTCTCGCAAATCCCCATTTAAATCGCACTTAAAGCGATCTGTGAATCGACCCATTGAATGCATTCCCGTGACCAGTATCCGTATCTGAGCGAGTATCTCTATCTGTGCGGCTCCATCTCGACGGATTCCAGCTGCTGTCCGGCGGAGTCAACATTTGCGTTTTTGCGGCTGTGGCGAGCATAAAATTTCCTATGCATTCAGACCGCATTGAAATTTTCTCGTAATATTTGATTTGATTTTTAAACAAAACGCTGTCCACGCCCAGTTAGAGCACGACAGTGGGCACTGTCAAGTGACGAACGTTGGTCGGTCTGACATATTGACAGGGGATTGGGGACTGCAGATTGGGGACTGAGGGTTGGGGCCTGGGAGCTGGGAGCTGAGCTTGGGCATTCCGCTTTTATTAGCATGCCAGTGTAACAACAACAAATCAGAATTATTTGACAACGCAGCTAATTTACATGAGCGTGCAAGGGGGGCGCAATGGGGGAGGGGTGCACACGTAGGTTGGTCTGGTCAGTGAGGAGCTGATGCTCGTATCTCACATCCCGACAGCATGCGGCTTGTGTCTGCGGCTTCTTTCTGCGGCCTGGTCAGGATGGGATCTGGACCTGAAACTGGTATTAAACTGGAACTGACTCCGTCCATGGCCTCGTTGCCGAATCGCCGATGAGGATTTTAGGTGGGCAAAAAGTTGAAACCGCTTTCGACTTGCGTTCAATTTTATTTAATTACTTTGACGTAAATTTCGAAACTTTATTACCGATGCGGGAGGGGAGGAGTGCCAATAAGTGTTAACCCTCTGACAGCCCTTTACTGAATTTACCTTCAAATTCAAACGTATATGTATAATGACAATGAAAACCCTCGTAAAAAGAGGTGGATGAGCAATATTTTGTTAATTATAGCTTCGTGGCTTAAATTCAGCTCTTTGTATACAAAAAAGTACGGCACGTCGAGTAAGATTGATTTATACCTTGTAGACTTGTAGGCTGCTAAAAAGTAGAAGACACAAAAAATATCAATAAGTAAATTGCTTAGTGTTATAAGTTAAATAATTTATAACCTTCTTACTCGTTAATGTGACTTTTTAACCAGGAAATAAAGATATTAAAAACAAGATAAAGATGTTAATTTTGTTTTTACTAGAAAGCAAAGAGCAGGTGTATTTTTCTGCGTGTACTGTTGGATGAAGTGGAGAGTCTGGAGACGAGTGACAGCATAATCAGCATCACCATTAGGCTCGGCTGGAACAAAAGAGAGAGTGATTGGAGCGAAGTGCCCGATCAGCGAAAGCGTGACAAAGAAAAGCCCCTCCAGACATGCGATAATAACAAGGCACACATACATACATATGTGTGTACATATGTATTCGCGCATGCTGCGGATGATATGGATCCGTACACATGCGTATGCATATGTATGTATGTACAATGTACATATGCATGCAAATTGGACAACCGGCACAGATAGTGTTCGGCGATAACAGGGCTGATTCCTATCTAAACTGTAACAGGTGCCCAGCAGACTCGAGAAACGCGAACCCCGCTCGCTCCCGAGATAAAATTGATTGATAAGGGGGGTTTTGGGTGTGTGGGGGGAGGGTGAGAAGGGAAGAGGGGAATAGGGCGGGGGTGGGGCTGCGGCTGGGTAAGAACACAAAGCTCAAAAAGAGAGCTTCATACAATGCAGGAAAGCTTCGTCACTCAGTCAGTCAGTTCTGTTGTTCTTGCTCTCTTCGCGACTCGAGTTTCAATTTAGTCAATTTACCGTTACCGTTACAGTTGCACTCGATGAGCGGCGCCGAACGAACAGCTGAAGGGGATCGGAACTACGATCGGTGCCGGGAGCCATGGAGCAGCCGAAGCGGGAGCCGCAGCCGAGCGACCTCCATTGGATCATCCTGGCTGCACGACGAGCTTGTAAGTTGGGAGGGCCTCAGTTGTGGCTGGACCGCCGGTCGCGTTCGATCTCTCTCCCGCTCCCGTTAGCCGTGCTTTCTCTCGCTGCTTCGCTCAGTGGGAACTCTCACCACCCACGCCATGTGTTTTTGTTGTGAATGAGATCCCCCGTGCACTGTTGTTATAACTGTTACTTTCCACCCTCTATCACCCACTAACGCCCATCGTTCTTTGTCTGTCATGCATCGCCATAATGCGGAGAGCTCTTTTTGTTTCATCAATCGCCTCAACGGGAATGCCAATGACGAACTGCAGCAGCCGGGAGAGCATGAGCCCACTTCCGCTCTGTTGGACTACTGCAAACGGAAGGTGGGTGTGGTGTCAGCATTGATCACCTATTACCTAACACCCATGTCGTGGGAACTGACCAACCAACCAACGTCTCACCAAACAGTTCCTACGTCCATATGTGGCCATCCTGACCCTGGTGGGCCTCAATCCCATCTCCACCGATATGACCAGGATCCGGGCATGCTGCAGCTACGTTCAGGCGCTGATGGTGCTATTCGTCCTGCTTGTAGGATACCTGTTGCGGTACATTTGCGGATACAGGTGGGTTTTTAGGGTTTCCGCTGCACTTAAAATAATGACAAAGTGATTAACTTAAAAATAAAACCTTCGAACGGTAATTTATCGCATCATGTAAACTTGATTATATTCATATACAGCTATGTATGTATGTTTTCTTATCAATTGGTTTATTTTACGGGAAAACCATTCCCAGCTTTAAACAAGGAATGTTTATTATAAGCTATGTTGGGGCAAGGTCTGCCCCGTAGTCATACAAATTTATAAATATTTATTTTTAAGCAATTCGGAATTTGCTTTGCTTTGAAAGATTATTTTTATTGTCCATAACCTTCACTTCCAGAGGCGATCGCGGCTTCACCAGCTACCGGGATATTCGACCCATGACCAATGGGACAGATGGCGGAACTGTGACCCCCAACACCATAGGAGAACTCCTGTTCGGTTTTATAGTGCCCAGTGGCTTCAACCTCTTGGCCTTCGTGTCGGCTGTGTTGGTATGCAAGGTGATCGATCACGAGCAGCTGCAGAACCTCATCGAGAGGGTTTTCCTGATGTCCGCCAAACCGAAGAGGCTCTGCCGAATGCTGTGGCTTTTCCTGGCCATTGCACTGGCCCTGCTGATTTTACTATTCGGCTACGCCTGCTGTGTGGTGATGATGCAGCCCAGCCAGATCGTCAAAGTGTCCTGGCTAGCGGAAATCCTAAGCGACTGGGAGATGTGGTTGCGAGTGGGCCTCTTGCTCACCATACTCTTACAGGATCTGGTGGAGATTATCATACTGAGCAACTACTACATCGAGTGCTATTTGCTGAGGATGCATCTGGAAACGCTGTCGCACAAGCTGCTAATGCACTCCATCGACTCGCTGGATTGGATGAGGGAAGTCCTCGAGTTCCGAAAGCTTCTGGAGCGGTTGAATCAGCACGTGTCTATTCCAGTGTGCTTCCTAATTGTAATGAATCTGGCGTACGCCTTCGCGGGACTGGTGTACCTATTTAAGGACTTTGATTTCCACTACTGCGCCCTAAAACTCGTCCTGCTTAACATTGCCAACGTGATGCTGTGGCTATTTCTGGGATTGCTGCCCTTTTTCGTGGCATCATCGGTGACCCGGGTGTGCCAGAATGCTCAAGCTAATGGTCACCAGATACGGGTTCGTCCATTTGTTTACCACAATACCTCAGCGGAAGATCTCAACTCGACGCTGCTGTTCGCCGCCTCGCTGGACATGTCCGCCAAACTCTTCCGGATGCCCATTCAGCCAAACTACTTGTGCTTCGCCATCCTCGTGGTGGTCATTGTGATTCTTACGCTGGGCATGTGCCTAAATCTCACCACACTGGGGAAAATATAACAATTAACTCGTAGTCAATTGCCTATAATAATAAAGAGTTATAGTATTGTCTAGCTTACAACTTGGCGACCTGACTCTCTGGCTGCTAAGCAATTTATTTACAGGTTATGGCTTCCGTCTACGAATTAGCTACTTATTGGTACTCTAAAGTTTAGTCTCAGTTGCGGTCTCGACTTCTCAGCCTACGAGTATGCACTTTGGTTTCAGATCGTGTGTGACTCCTTTAAGCTGCCTGCAATCCGGTCACGTCACGTCACCAGCCCAGCCAAGGCGGATGATTAATCTTAGAGGGCGGGGTGAAGGTGAGGTTAACCGGTATGTTAATCAGAGCGTGCACCCGCTTCAGTCGCTGCAGCGTCGACCGGATAATGACGCCGTTCTTTCCGAGCAAAAAGCCTGCAGGAATATTGGCGTCCTGTTGGGAGTTGTCATGTATCATCTCGATGTAGTGCTCAAACTCTGGAGAGCTGGGATTGTACTCGGTGATGATTGCAGCCAATGCGCCCGCTGCCTCCGCTCGCAGTGTCTTGGTAAGGAAGGAGCACTCCCTGAAAAATGGCAGACCATTAGATAAAGAAGATAAGAAAATTGAAACTTTTTACAAAACAGAAGCATTTATAATATAAAAAACAGATATCAAATATCTACATCGCTTTTATAAAAGCAACCTTTTTTAGATCCGTTTCATTATATTCTTAAAGTAAAGACAATGGCCTTTGTTACCAGAAGTCAATTAACCGTCCCAAGCTTTCGAAATTTGATGGCTTTAGTTTAAAAGGCTTTAAATAAACACTCCGGATGCACGTAACCAGGTTCTGACATTCCTGATAACACGCAGTATATTTAGGCTAAAGTTACACCTAGCTTCTTGGTATAGGTTCGTCAACGACCACTGATAAAAATTGGCCGTGGCTATGACCATCTTTCAATGGGAAGATAAGCTTGGTAGGGATTCGAGAGGTTCTCACCCGCGATCAATGAGTGCGACGCCCCCATTGAGATCTCTGGCGTTCCGGATCTCCTGGCAGGCGCCTGGGGGATCTGTGAGCACCAGCGGCACACCCTCCAACCGCTCGGAGAAGGCGGATCCAAAGTCCTTGGCCGGTCGCAGCCGGTACGTGTATTCCAGGTCCGAGGGGGACAGTATTTCAAAAAACACGTCACCCGCTATTATGTCCTGCGTTGTGATCGGTATCGATATCGTGGTGCTGGCTCGGATAGATCGGCTCAAGGTGGCGGCAAGCACTAACCATACGATTAGCATTTTGGCCACGCACGCATAACTAATGTAAATGTTTGTTGCAAAAAAAAAACAAACTAATTCTTATGGCGCTAGTGATGGACCGGCAGCCGGCAGTGCCGCTTTGACGATACTATCGGCCATTCACATATACATTGGTATCGAGTATTACCGGCATTAAAAGTTAACTAATCAAAATAAATATTTAAAGTAAATTAGTATTATCTTTTCTTAGTGTTAACTTACAAAGTAAATATATTTCATAAGCTCATTTCTCTGGAAATATTTATAAGCAGGAATACCCTCTTCCTTAAGTTATATCGAAGCCATCCATATATAAAAAGAACTTGTATTCCCTAGTGCTTATGATAATATTAGAATAATTTAAGTGTACTCAGCGTATTATATTTGGTTGGTTTCAAAAATGAATACCATTCTGAAAAATCGATTTTTTTTTGCATAGCCAGGTTCTTTTAGTTAATCTTTATATATACATATGTATATGCAATATTTTCTTTGTCGTTACATATAAGGAGAGCTTGTCTATTATTAGCATATAACGTATTCTCTTATTAAGTCTTCAATTAGCTATTTTTTACTAAGCACCCCTTATGTGCCAATCGATATCGATTTCTGATAATTGTAAATTTCAAATAGGTGAACGTGTATTGTGTCCGAAGAAATAAAACTAAACAATTATTTTAATGAACTACTTGATAAATTTAAGGATATATATTTCGATAGCCCAGTGCCAAGGGTACTCCTAACCGATAAGTTACTGTCCATCACCACGGGCACACTGGTTACCTGTGGTCAAAAAGTGGCAAATGCGATTAAGCAAAATTGGGTTATGTAGTGCCACCTATATATGGAGGACACGAAAGTAAAGATAAACACACAAAGTGTGAAAGTGAATTGAAAATGGGAATTCTGTGAGACAAAGCACGCCGAGTGAAAGTAGTACGACGTCACCACATTACACAATTCCAGACTAACATTTCGCCTTACTACTGCTTGACTTAGAACCAATGTTCACCGCGTGGAGAAGCAGTGTTGCATTCGAACGCAGCCAAAGCAACTCTGACGAGTAGTCGATACCACCGGGAATCGGTACTCATTCGCTCAGCGGCAGCCATTTTAACTTTTGGCGTCGAAAATACGACGAGGAAATCTGAGGAAGCCGGAGATCCTGTTGGTCTGTGTGGTTTTTTCGCATCCAGCGCAAGCAGTGTGTAGTGCTCGAGGGCCCGTGGTTACCAGTGAGTGTGCGAGGAAGTAGAGAAGTTGAGTTTAAGAAGCGGAGTCGGATTTGCGGATCAGTAGTCTAACCAAAACCGAAGCGAATATGTCGATGTCTGCCACGTGCTACAAGTGCAACCGGCCGGGCCACTTTGCCCGGGACTGCAGTCTCGGCGGCGGCGGTGGTCCGGGCGGCGTTGGAGGAGGCGGTGGTGGCGGCGGCGGCGGTATGCGCGGCAGCGATGGCGGCGGCATGCGTCGCAACCGCGAGAAGTGCTACAAATGCAACCAGTTCGGGCACTTCGCACGTGCCTGCCCCGAGGAGGCCGAGCGCTGCTACCGCTGCAACGGCATCGGGCACATCTCGAAGGACTGCACCCAGGCAGACAACCCGACCTGCTACCGGTGCAACAAGACCGGACACTGGGTGCGCAACTGCCCGGAGGCCGTCAACGAACGTGGACCGACCAATGTGTCGTGCTACAAGTGCAACCGCACCGGACACATCTCCAAGAACTGCCCGGAGACCTCGAAGACTTGCTACGGCTGCGGCAAGAGCGGACATCTGAGGCGCGAGTGCGACGAGAAGGGCGGACGGAACTAGGCGCCACCACCCACCCGTGGCACCTCACAAATGTAATCATCGAAGGAGGAATATGAGTAATAATTCAACACACGAAGAACAACCAGAAGAAGAAGATGAAAGAGAAAAGAAGAAAAAAAATGAAAAAAACGAAAAATCAATTTGCTACAACATTCACAAAGCCAGCCAACAGCAACAACAACATCTAGAAGCGATAGCAGCAGCAGCACCCAAGTCAAGATCAACCCCTCCAAAATAAAGAACACACACCCACACCCACATCCACAGCCCTTCATTAACACACGCAGCATATAAATCCATAATCCTGAACATCATCCAGTAACCATCGCTGATTCCAAAAGCCGAGCCTGCAGCGCGGTGCCAACGTCCCGAGAACTGAAAGAAGACAAGGAAGGAGAAGTATTGGCTTTCCGAGGGAAAGCCGCCAGATGAGGAATCATGGAGGCCACGGAGGAAGAAGGCAAGGGCTCCTCGAGCGGGGGTCGGAGGAGCAGAACCAGAAGACGATAGCCAACGGCAGCTGTGCAGCCGAGAGAGCAGATGACGCCGACGACGAGGAATAGGATGAGGACGAGGTAGAAGATGAGGAAGAAGACACGACGACCCAAATTGTAAGATGAGACTAAACCGCAACAGCAACAACAAAAGAAATCACCAAGCAAACCACTTTACTATAATTATACCTATATGATTATGATTATGCTGCAGAGTGTTTGAATTTACTAATTACATTATAACGAATGGAATGAAACTATATAAGATTATATAAAGAAAAAAATACCTTAAAGAATACTATTTAAATCTAATGATCCTATTAGGAGTTCCACAGCCAGAAACAACCGAAAGAAAAGCGTAAATAAAAATGAAGAAAAAAAACAATGAAAAAGCGAAGAATCAGGCGGCTAGAAGATCAGGCCACGTTACCACTCCACTCAACTCAACTCCACTCCATCCAGCTGCTGCCGGCGAGCCTTGGGAATTCTCCAGGATCTAAGACTGCCTATCCAGTAACCAGTATCCCACCCCTATACCAACACCATCAACGCCATCTATATCCAATCATACCATACCACACACCCATCAGCCAAGACGCCCGGCAAGATCTCTCGAGCGGGGTAGCATGCTATGTAGCTCATAGCTGTGGAGCCAAAGGGGGCAGCAAACAAGAACAGAGAAGCAGACAAATAACAAGAAGAGAACATCAACAATGGTAGACATACACGACGACTTTGAAAACGGAACGCAAAGCTGGAGAGGATGAGCTAAGCGGTTGAAGAAGCAGACAAGCCAAAGCCAGCGGCACTCAGTGGGCAGATGAAGAAGACAACGGCACACACACACCTTCAGTTCAGTTCAGTTGGACGGACGGGACACAAAAGATGCGACACCGAAACCTACGTACGATGAAGGAAATGAAAATTCAAATATCACTGTGATTGTTTTTTAATTGTAAATTAAAATGCTGGAGCTGCTGATTTGAGACAAAAAAAAATAATCCCACACCGTTGTGTTATGTTGTGTCTTGAGGCGCGGGTATTTCAGGGTAACATCTTTCCGATGGGCATATCCATTTAGCCCCCTGCCAATTTGAGGCAGCTCCGCCCCTGAGCGGGAGAGAGCGATCGCTCGCTTTCGCACTCTCTCGCCTTCTCGCTCACGCAACCAGTTTACCGGCGATTTTCACAACTGCAGCTGCGGGAACACATGGCGCAGGCAGCTGATGGGAATGGGGCTGGGGGCTCTCTTTGCGCTTATGTGCTCACGCCGCTTTCTTTGCTCTCCTGCCCTGTATGCAGTTCGCGTACCAGCACACACACATAGGTACATACGCGCGCGCTAAGTGAATACATACGTACAGCGTGCTGCGAGGTACAGTCGCCGCTAATGGTGAAAACTGGCCGTGCGAAAAGGCTGAAAGGCGGCTGGCATAGAGAGAGAGAGAGGGTGAGAGCAAGTCTGATGTGGGGTGGCAACTTCAACTTCGCCGGCTGCACTTGGCAACAAGTCTGCAAGCGACTGCGACTGCGACTCCAATTGAGGGTCAAGGTCAGCGCTCGCGCATCAGCTGCTGCGCATGTGTGACGACCACGACGGTGGCTCCGCGAAAGCTGCGCTCCGAGTTTCTGGAGCCGCATGCGGATGGGCAAGAAGCAGAGAGCGGTTGGCCGGCCGGTTTGGCCACTTTTCGCGGTTCTCCATACTTAAGTGCGGTGCGATCGCGGGGCAGCCAAGTAATCGCCGCATTTACTTAGGCCTACGAGGGGCGTTACGAAAGTTCTGTGTAGCTACATTCCTATGCATGTGTTTGGCACGCATACAAGTAAAGATACAAATGTATCTCAAATTATGGAATACTTCTGTCCTCTTATAGAGCGCTCTTTTGCAATCAAATTGAAATACCTTATGTTATATAGTTATAGTAGTCGCAATGTCTGACAACTTTTGATATTTCAATTATAAATTCAAACATAAAATAGAACTTATTCCGGAAGCTAGACAAAATTGCTGTAAATTAAAGTATAAAATTTAAAAAAATGTCCAAAAACAATTGCAGCGACTGCACATGCCGTTTGGCCAACGAGGTGGGCCAGCTAAAGGGTGACTACTTCGATTTTGATGGGAATCCCCTGAGATCCCTAATAATACAGACCGCATCCCATAGCCATTGTGAATGCCCAGAGCAGGACGCTCGCCAAGCTTGTCCGCCAGATGAAGGAAGGCTGCAAAAAGGATGAGGAGGCCAAGGAATCCACTTTGTGCGGTCTGAATCCTTGCCTGAAGTGCCTGCAGCCTGATATACTTTACCACCTGGGCCTGAACACGGACACCACGGACTTTCCCAAGGTTTTTGGGGATGTGAGGGTTAGTCCTAACCATTATGTTTAGGTATCTAGTACCTATAAGTTTGATAAGCGTATCTGCAATCCTACATAGTTCGTTTGCATGGGAGGCACACCGGGGCGGATGGAAAACTTTGCCTACTACGTGATGCAGGAAATCGGTCTGAAGATAAACGCGGCTACCAAGCTACGGAACATATCGGAGGCCGGCCAGCGATTCTCCTTGTTCAAGGTGGGTCCCGTGCTCTGCGCCAGCCACGGAATGGGTTGTCCCTCGATCTCCATCCTGCTGCACGAACTCATCAAGATGATGTACCACGCCAAGTGCAAGGATCCCGTCTTCATCAGAATAGGCACCAGCGGCGGAATTGGCGTTGAACCCGGAACCGTGATCATCTCCTCCGAGGCGATTGATGCTCGCTTAAATCCCGCCCACGAGATACTCGTGCACGGCGTCAGTGTCCAACATGCTAGTCAGCTGGATGAGAGTCTGGCCGATGAAATCAAGATGTGCCACGATCCCTGCAAGGACACCTATGAGGCCGTCATCGGTCGGACCCTGTGTGCCCATGACTTCTACGAGGGCCAGTCGCGCTTGGATGGAGCCTTTTGCGAGTACACGCCCGAAATGAAGAAGACCTACTTGGAGCAGCTGCAGAGCCAGGATGTGAAGAACATCGAGATGGAGAGCTTGGCCTTTGCCGCCCTCACCAGTCGGGCCAACATCAGGGGCGCAGTCGTCTGTGTGGCCATCCTAAATCGCCTAAATGGGGATCAAGTGAGTTCAATACAGTCCATTATTTGACTATCCGCAAACTAAAATCCAACATAGATCAAAACGCCTCATGATGTTTTGTCCAAATGGGAGAAGCGACCCCAGGAGCTTGTGGCCCGCTATATACGCAAGGTGCTGTACTATAACGAAGATGACGATGAATCGGAGCAACCGGAGGACGAGACCGAGGGAGGAGCAGCAGGGGCTGGGGACACCCAAAAAGCGCCTGCAGCGGAAGCCGAGTAAGAAGTCTAGGTAAACGAATCTGCCATACTAAGTCAAAGCTTTGATCATTAAAGATACCTGTGGTTGTTCAGTTCAATGGTATAGATTCTTTTATTAAATGTTCAATTATAATATTAGGAATTTATGCTACACAATTGATAGGTTTCTTCGGGTTTCATTTTTGGTTAGTACAGCTGTTGCAGAACCTTTGGATAGAGGCTAGGAGACTCGCTTAACGCTAAACTAGTCACGAAATGAGTACCAATGGCAACCAGGACGAACTGCGCCTGGAGCTCTAATAGAATCACAAACAAAGTACAATGCATGCGCATATATAGCTAATATCATAATCTGTATCGATATCCATATTAAGTTACAATTTAAACTAAAACATGAGGTTCTGGTTCTATGGATTTCACTGTCCGCCCACCATCACCACCTAAATCAACATACTGACGAAGATGGGCAGTCTATAACCAATGCTCCACTACTTCTCCGACTTGTTGCGCGTTTTCATCTGGCCAGTGGCAGTACCACCCTGGGATCTGTCCGATTTCCGGCTGCTCGACCGGGGCAAGGTGGTGCAGCTAGTAGACATGGATTTGTCCTGGAATAATTCAAGAAAGTGGATCAAAGTTTAGAATCTGGGCTTTGCTTGGGACATTTAAAACAACATGCTGCAAATCCTTAAATCTGGAGGTTAGTAACGCAACTGTACAGAAAGATAATGCCATATTGGGGGCCATGTAAGTTAAAGGCGGAGCAGAAGTCGCCCGGCGGTGAGCGAAATATAACACTGGGATGATGAGAGCTTCGAAAACAGGCTTGCGGCTGGGCTTACTTCAAATCTGTGTCTCTTTGGCCGCCAGCTGCTCATCCTCGGGCTGCTGCTGGCTGGGATTAGCTTTGTTACGCAGCACATTAGCTTTGATATTCTTGAACAGTTGTCCGATACCTGACTTGCGTTCCACGCTGCCCGTCGATGTCTGGCTGATGGCGTCCGGTTGGGGACTCAATGAGTGCTTCTTCGGTGGCAAAGGCGGAGGTGGAGCACGTCCCTTGCCATGGTTGGCCTTGGGCCGCAGGAAGGGTGATAGTGAGGCTGATACAGAGGGCTCTGGTTCCAGTTGGGCGCGGAAACTGTGCTTAATCTCCTCCAGAGTCTCTCGCATTTCACGAGGCGACATTGGACGCGGCCGCTCCGGCAGAAAAGGATCTGGAGCAGATGCCGAAGCGCTTAGAACCAACAAAAATGGGTCTATTGGTGGATGGACATAAGGCTTGCTTTGGGAAGATGAACCTGAATCAGTAGTTTCAGCAGATCCATTCAGAGTCTGATTTTGAATTGTATCCATTTGTATCTGCTGGCTTAAATCCGCACTATTCTTAGCATCCACTTCATCTGATACACTTTTTTTTGGTTCTTCAAATGCATCTTCAAACTGCTCCTCTTTTAAAGAATTATGCCTCCGATCTTGCGGCTCCAACTTTTCCTCCAACTCATGGTTGGCCACCAATTCATCGATGTGCTCATCTATCAAAGGCAACGCTTCAAAAAAGGCCTCATCTTCCGCATCATCGTTCTCCTCCTTCACCACCTTTTCCACATCCTGAGATGGGATTCTTTCAAAACTCTCCACAATTTTCAGTTCTTGAGCTCCTGGAACTGCGTTCTTTCCTCGCACACCTTGAAAATACAGCTGGTTGTCTAAGTAGACCTCGTCTCTCATCTCTTCCAGCAACTGCTAACCAACACCAATCTCTAAACGGATTAAGATAGTTCCAACAAGAACTGAAATGATTCCTACCTCATTGCGTTTGGACTTGACTCGACCCTTGGAAGCGTTTGTCATGGAGGAGGTGCGACTAAGACCACTCACAGGTTCGGCACTTGAGTAGCCAGAGCTGATGTCATCCTGGCTGCGAATGTTGTAGCTGGGATGGATAAGAAATAATTTGATAAGATAAGGTGCTACAAATAAATCTGTTTGGCAAGGGAATTGATCAAACCTAAGGGAATTGCACGAAATTTGACAATGACTCACTTGAAATCGCCCGCATTCTTGGACGTCACATCCACCTCCGTAAAATACATGCCCGTCGAGTGGCGTGTTCCGCTGCCGGATCTGCCCACAGGCGTCTGATTTCTTGGCCTTAGGAGACGCGCTCCAGGGGCAGTCGAACGCATGACCACCGCCGACGATGTCATCGAGGACATCATCACGTCGTCCAGTTCGTCCTGCGTGCGATGCATATCCGGTTCGCTGAGATCGCTGAGGCTGTAGCTCCGCTTGATCGTCTGCACCAGATTGCCGCCTCCCTTCAGTGGAGCAATGGTTGATGGAGTAGAGCACAAGAGTTGGCATTTGAATAATTTAATTTTAACTACAACTAATCGAAAACTTAGGTGTAAAAGTAGTTATAATACATGATTGGAAAAAAATAAAACTGCAAGTGGGCGACAGTGTTAATGTGATGAAGTGTAAGTGTCTCGCTGAGTGTTTAAAATTCCATTGTTCGCTGAGTATCTGAATGCGTGATGGCAACCATCTTCAGTAGTTTTCCACATCCACATCGGGCGTGGGATCGCGCAACTTGCGCCGGGAGCGGATCACATTGCTGGAGCTGCCGGCGGCCTCCATATCGTTGTTTTTCTGGCCGCGCTTGCCTGCAGCTCTGGCGGTGCCTGCAGCACGACGTGGTTGAGCCTTCCGAGCAGGCAAGTCTCGTAGACGTGCTGCTCCGGCATCGCCCAGGGGCTCATCTTCCTGCTCCACCTCCTCTCTAACCTCTCGAATAATCAGTCGCCTGGTCTCGGCCCTCGGCTCATAGATCGTCTCCGCGTAGCTCTCGATGCTGCTCAGGGAACTGGCCCTCGGCAGCCAGTTGTCCGTGCTGTCCATCACGTCCTGACCCCGGGACAGCTCATTGGCCGAATGGGAGTTTTGCAGGCCGCGTCCATCGCCAGATGGCGTTGTGGTCAGCGCATAGGTCTAGCGGTAAGCGGGTTAGTGGCAATCGAGCGGTGCGGACAGGTGCGTTTAGTTGGGATTTTGAGTTTTGTTTGGTGGGTTAAATGCAAAGAAACATAAGTGAAGAAACGAAAAAGTTAATTAAAATAGAGGCAACGCAAAAGTCTCAAATTGAAATGAATTGCAGCTGGGTCAAATGATGCACATACACACACGCCCAAGATATGTCTCATGCCCGGTATCTATCTATCTATTTATATTTGTATGCCCTACCCCAGCGGCGATTCGGAATTGGAATTAGAATTGTGCAACTGTGCAACTGGGCAACTGGGAAGGCGACAACGGCGATGCCCGAGCGAGATCGGCGGAATGCAAATGTGGAAAAAAGGAGTGCCTGGCAGATGTCTTGGCTACAAACAATGCACAAAAGACTCCTATGGAGCCAAATATATAGCCGGAAAGGTACTTTTCGCTTTTGCTTCGAAGCAAGCGAGTTTCTTTGTCTCGAAACAAAGAAATAAAGCTGCCTTGGAAAATGTATTAGTGTCCTATTACCTTGTACAATTCCAAATTATCCATGCACTATAAATACTCTTTCTTCAGAAATCGAAAAATTAACTTGCTTTTTGTGCACAACCATTAGAAAAAGGTAAAACAAATAATATTTCTCGCTTTCCCATCCTGCATTTGAACAGATGTCTTTGTCAGCCAACAAAGAAAGCTCAAGTGTTCCAGTCATCAGATGATTAACTCGGATTCTTTGTTTAAAATCGTATTGAGTTGTTCTAAGAAATGTGCAACTGGACCAGCTAAACAAATCACTTGCACCTTTCATTCTATATTTTCTCTATTCTTTGACCTACATCAAGGGGCATTCGTTATCGACTGCATTAGTTCATCATTTGACTGCTGCACTTCAGTTGCAGCCCACAAGTGACTTGGCCCACATCTGAATTGTTTACAAACAGTTGTGAATTGCGGCGAGTATCTGGGATCTTTGGCATGGGTTGGTTCAGATATTGTTTTTATTACATTGTTTCAACATGTTGATTTATCTTTCAGCGTGTATCACGTATAGTATATATAGTGATCGGGCTACACAAAGAGAAACTCACTACAAACTAATCCGAAACAAACACGCAAATGGCACAAAAGAGCATTCCATTCTAAACTAAATAATAATAAAAGTAAATGTAAAGAGAAGGCGATCAAATGATGAAGGCGATGATGCTGGTGATGCTGAGAATCTCTGACGAGGAGCTCCCCGCTTTCTGCTGCAGATTCGCTGACCCGTTGGCGATGATCAAGATGGGCACGCGAGAGTGTTGCGCAAATTTTCGAATATAGAACAGCAGAAGCTGATGTCTGTTTGCTGCTCACTTTATGCAACGACGCTGGAGGCGATCGAAAATGGCCAAATGAATGTGCTTACCGAGTCGAGTGAGTGTGCGAGATTGTGGGTGAGTGTGTCAGTGGGGGCAGTGTGTGGTGTGTGTGGTGTGTGATGTGTGTGAGGTGTGTGTGGGAAGGATTACCTTGATGGCCGTCTGCATGAGGACATTGGTGGCATAGTTTACTCCCTTCGAACCCAGCTGCAGGACCGCCGAATAGCCCCGCTCTTTGGCCTGATTTACGTACTCGTCGATCTCCTGTACAAAGAGAGGAAATTATGATGTACCGAGCGATCTATATATACTCTCGAGTTTTTTGGTCCCACCTGTTCGTGGCGCGTCAACATCGGATGCACGAATTTGCGATACAAAGTCGAACTGCCCTTTGTGGCCGGCGAGAGGAGCCAGAACACCAGGGCCACCTTCACCTCGTAGTAGAACGGCAGCCAGGAGATGAATATATCCGTGAATGTTTCTATGCAGGTAAAAAATGCAAAGACAATCCAGTACATCATCCATTTAACCTGAGGCGAGAACATTATTAACAAATAAATCAGATCTAATCCCTTGACAATAAAATTGAATGGATCGGTGTGCGAGATCAGTTTTCTACAGATACTCACATATTCCTTGACATCCTTGGTCCTGACGGCCTTGTAGGAGGCATAGGCCGGGTACAGGGTGCCGCAGAACAATCTGAAAGCGGGAAACAGTAAACTCTGGGCACAAGTGCG